AAAACACATCTTTAAACTGTAATCTAAGCATATCAGGAGCTCTTGCAGAGCAGTAGAAATATATTTAATGTTGGATCGTTTCTGCGCTCTATAAATGTATTATTATTATTATTATTATTATTATTATTATTATTATTATTATTATTATTATTATTTTATCAGTTGATTTGCTATAGAATGTGACACTTTTTATGAATGTCTTTTTAATGAATCTGTGCCAAGGTGCATTGTTTGTTATTGAGATGGTACACTGCTACATGAAATTAATAGTGACATGATCTTGAATAGAGAAGTATTGAAATAGAGAGAGAGAGAGAGAGAGAGAGAGAGAGAAAAGGAGAAGGGGGTAGTACGAAACAGAGGAAGAGAGACAGAGACAGAGACAGAGAGAGAGGGGGGGGGATAGAAGGGGGTGGTAAAAAAAAACACAAGAGAGACAGAGACAGCGACAGAGAATGAGAGAGAAATATATATTGATGGGGTATGAGAGACAGAAAGAAAGAGAAAAAGAGAGGGAGGAAGGAGAGAGAGACACACACATACAGAGTGAGAGACACATATTTATGTGTAACGGGTATGATAGAGAGAGAGAGAGAGAGAGAGAGAGAGAGAGAGAGAGAGAGAGAGAGAGAGAGAAAGAGAAAATGAGAGGGAGGTTGGAAAGATAGATAGATAGATAGATAGATAGAGAGAGAGAGAGAGAGAGAGAGAGAAAATGAGAGGGAGGTTGGAAAGATAGATAGAGAGAGAGAGAGAGAGAGAGAGAGAGAGAGGGGGGAGAAGGGGCGAGTAAACAAAAACAAGAGAGAGAAGGGGGCGAGTAAACAAAAACAAGAGAGAGAAGGGGGCGAGTAAACAAAAACAAAATAGTGAGAGAGAGAGACAGCCAAACATAGGCAGACAGAGACAGAGCATGATAGATGAATATATACATGTATGTATAGGGTATGAGAGAGAGAGAGAGAAAGAAAGGGAAACGGAGAGGGAGGAAGGAGAGAGATGGAGAAAGAGAGAGGGAGTAAGAGAAGCTCGAGTGGGAAGAGAAGGACATATAAACACGGTTGCGTATGTTGTCGTCTATGTATTACGACTGCTACCTATTATTTTCAAAGCCAAAAAACACCGCCTTCGCACTAATCAATAACTTGAGCTCTATGGCAGCTAAATCTCCAGAAAAATCATTTGAGATTCAAAACACACTATGAGGCCCAGGCATCGCACTTCATTCGATTTCAATGAGTTTACAATTCATCCCAGATAACGTGACGTCAGTTGCATCATACATGAACCACTTTTTCAAGAGAGTGGGTTTATGGCGGTATTTTATTTGAATACAAAAATGAAGAATGAATGGAACATTTCCTTTGAATTCAAACACATCTGTCTTCTTTTTTTATTTAAGGATTGAAAATGTTTATATTACTCGGACGTCACAATAGCCTACGCGTATTTGGCAAAACCTTGGTCCATTAACTTCTAGCGTGTATTTTGTCATCAGCGAAAGATTTCTATCACATGTGTTTTTGTTATATTATTTTCTCTCTCTCTCTCTCTCTCTCTCTCTCTCTCTCTCTCTCTTTCAATCTCGTTCCATCCTCTCATTCTTTTCATCCTCTTCATGCATACTTTACCCTAACACTTATTCTCAGAATAACACCAGTAGAAAGCTTTTCCAAACTTCGAGACCGAAATATTAAAGTACCTGTACATCAAAACTTATTTATACATGCTAATATATATAAAAGCTATTTCTATGTATTAAATACTAAGTATTAAGTAACCAGTTGCCGTTTCAAAGCAAAACTGAATTAGTGTATGTTTATTTCAAAACTAGGTTAGGATGATCCTAATTTGAAATTATGTTCCATGAGAAAATCTCCATTTAAAGAAAAGAAAAACAACGTTTTAGGTAATAATTCTCGTGCGGTTTGCCTCACAGCCGCCTCCATCCGTCACTCATCTGCCAGGGGCATTTTTAAATGCAAAACTTTAGGATTCCTGTTTTTAGTTTATTTTTGTAATATCATTACTTGGTTCTGCCTCTGTCGATTCCTTGAAAATATATATTTATCTTGTAAGTTATTAATTACACCTGCTTTCATTTGATGCATCTATTTCTCGTCTTCTTTCTGACAAGATCATATAATTTGTATCACTAATCTCTCTCTCTCTCTCTCTCTCTCTCTCTCTCTCTCTCTCTCTCTCTCTCTCTCTCTCTCTCTCTCTCTTGTTCTACCTCTGTCCCACCCTCTTTCTCTCTCCTTCACCTTTTAAAAAATTGTTATTTCACTTCTTTCGTTACGTATGTATTCCTTCATGTTTGTCTTTCTGTATTTCTTCCCCCTCTCTCTCTCTCTCTCTCTCTCTCTCTCTCTCTCTGTCTCTCTTTGTCTCCTTCCCATTTCCCCTTATACTTTCGTATACAAAACAGCATGTCAGCATTCGATATCAGGTGTATTTTAATGTCAGCATCTGCTGTAAAACGGCTATTCTATGTTAAATTGAATTAGATTATAGTATTATATATACAAAGATTACTGCGTCCTGAAAGTCATCTGACACAGAAAAATATTGAAACTTAAAAATAAAAACAACGATAATAGCAACACACCCGTGCATTGTGGTGAACGGGGGCGGAGCTTGACCTCCCTCTACACTTTACCATTTGAAAGGGAAAAAACTCTTAAAATGTCATAAGACAGTACAAAAATAAGGGGGAAGGCGGAAAATATGGATCAAATATCTCGCAATTACATCAACTGAAGACGAAGGCACCCCACCACTCGCGTCAGCTTTCAACGAAATCAAAACATCGACGAGGCGATCGTTTCACGTCGATCCACAGAAGTAGGCGCGCCTATATACGTTTACATCAAAAAGTAATTATGATGCATATAAGCCTCCTTTGAGAACACTCATAAACTGGGTATCGTCTTGCGTTAAAATAATGAAACATCATCCTGTTGCCGACGACCGTACTTGGTATCAAATTATGTCATGATAATGTTAAGTCAATTCTTCCTTTGTATCAGAAAGAGAGTTATTTATCAGCCATATTTGAGGACTTGCTTTTTTCTTCAGTCTTCTTAATTCGTAGGTGGTTGTTCAAATCAGAAATTCTGTTTACGCCTTTGCGCGATTAGAGGGCGTCATTTTTTTTGTATAAGCCAGGATACAAAGATAATAAACATCTTAACGGTGTATGGAGGATGGAAATAGGCCTATACTAGATAAGATAACTCCTGTCTATAGATGTATTATGAAACCTCTAGACGATCCAAATATCACAACCAACCTGACTTTGAGATCACGTGACATCTCGATGGAAAGACAACAATTACCGTGGAGGGCGTCTCCTGGATTTCAAAAGGGGTGGGGCAGGTCGGAGGGGCAAAATTGACTTTCCATGGATGTTAATTTGTCCTCAAGCAGTGTCAAGGAACATGATATACAAATCTCTAACGTGCTGGAATTAAATTTGTTTCATAGGCCCCCAAAATGTGTCTTTTTGTGACTTATGTCTTTGTGTGACTTGCCGTACCTCGAACCAGTAAACAGATAGGAGATCGGGCTTTTTCCGCTATTGCCCCCCCCCCCCCCCCCCTCAAACATGGAACTCCTTACCCCTTATTAATTGCCACACTCTAACAGTTTTCAAGGAATGTCTGAAAACACAGGCATCTTTTCTAATTTGTTGTAGTATTCTTCTCTGTCTGTAATTAATGTAAGCTTCGTATGATAATGTCCTCTCTTTTTGTTATTTGTTAGTAGCCTATTTCTTGTTTATGCGCCTTGTATCAAATAAAAAAGGCGCTGTATAAGTGCAATACATTTGTATTATTATTATTATTTATCAAAACATGATACTTCCTCTCTTTCTTGTACTCCTCACATCGAAACATCACTTTTCATATGGAGGGGACAGACCGGACAAGATTATTCTCTCAATAACCTTTTATAGTCAATGTACATCCGCTCTCAAAGGACCTGTATGATCTACAAACGAGCAACGCTATTTAAACATGACTTCGATGGGAGGGGGACAAAATCGCATAACAAGTTCATTTATACGCCAATTGGGTATGAAAAGGCCCACTCTGCGACTCGCACCATGCACGCATGGCTTCTCGAACGGGGATACTGGGCGATAATGACACCCCCGGGACGCCAGATTCGTCGTGAAATACGTAAAGCTTACAAGGCAACGCGCTTGATCTTCGTCATTATATATCTACGTATGATACTTAAAGGACAATCCAACCCTTGTAAAAAATTCATTTGTATGAAACCAGAAAAATTAGATAAACATAATGGTGAGGTTTGAAATGAATTGGACGAATAATAAGAAATTATGAATGTTTAATATATGAGATCACTAAGTATATGCAAATCTCAAATCAATAGTTTGGTCAGTGGATTTTGACGTAGTCGCGGATAACTGTCCCGCTTTTCGTGTACAAAAACATCATTATTTTCTTATTTTCTCCTGAGTGCTTTTTCCCTTGGGGCACTATTCAAAATATATTATGGATGGCCTAAAAGTATAGGTTATCTAAAGATAACCTATCTAAAGCTAAAAGAGTCTAACATTTTTGACAAATTGAAATTTCAGTCATTTTGTGAATTGGAAACATTAATGATAAGGTTTTCCTTCACTACATCACATACATGTATACATAACTGATTCAGCTAATTTGAATAACCCATACCTATAGTGATTACAACTTTTAAACAGTTACAACATTCTCAATTTTTGTCCGACATCATTCAAACTTTTACCAGTCTACTTTAATCTCTGATTTGTCTGCTTTTTTGTACCGTAGTTTGCTATCAAGGTTGTCTTTCCCTTTAAATATGTGTATTATACTCTAAGTGGTGGAATTAACGCAGCTCTTACACACGATGCGTGTAGCTCAAGTCCAGAAATAGATTTTCAGAACCCTACTGCGTCCATTATCTAGACTAAAGAGGAAGACGGGAAAGGAAAGATGCAGACTAGATTTCTTTTCGATTCTGAATTTTAATCAAAAGATCAAGTGACATTTTAAATCAATTCCATACAAACGGGAACAATAATATACAATTCAATTACAAACGCATACAGGGGTTCGAAATAATTGGTACAAAATGAGCCCCTAATGAACACTTGTCATGCACACATCATTAAAACAACAACAAGCAAACAATTACAAACACAAAAAACAATATCAGAATATAATTGTAAGCAACATGATTATATATGATTAACATGAGTATTAAGATATGTTTGGTGCATATTGATATGTTTTTTTCAAAGCTTGATCATTAAGAAGAAATTCACTGTGACGGTTCATTGTATGGTTGTATGTGGAAACCATTCGTATATAAACATTTAGCTGACCACAGAGGGCAAAGAAAAATAGAGGATTGAAGATAACAAAACGAAATTCATTCTCTTTTTATAAACTTCATGTCAGATTTAAAGCAATATTTCTATTTAAATGTGACGTCACAGTAGCACGTCTTCAAGGACGCTAAAATGCATCACGTTGAATACAGGGGTGCCGTAACATTTGCAAAGTTCTGATTGCCTTTTCAAAAATCACCGTCTTTAGCATTCTACATTGACTATTTTTTTTTCTTTGTTAATGAATTCCCTGCGACGATTATACTGAAGAAATAGTGAGTGGGACAAATCAACAAAAGTTAATTTGATTGTATTCGATTTTCTTTCTTTCTTCAATGACTGTTCCACTATCATTTTATTCGGCAGGCCGGCTACAGCACCTGTACAACAAAACGAAAGAAGAGACAGGGAGATGATGGAAAGAAAAATAAAATAAATAGAAATAAAAGGGGTTGTGAGAGAAAAGGAGAAAGTAAAGAAATTTAAAAAAAAATTAAAAGGAGAAAGAAGAGAAAAGAGAGAGGTTGTGACACAGAGACAGTGAGAGAGGAGAACAAAGATAATCAATTAAAACGAAAAGAAACAAAGTTTTAAAAAGTATGGCTATACTATAAATGATAAAACATTTTGAAGATATTTGGATGACGTTCGTAAAAGTTAGGACAAATTATATCCAAGTAATTCAACTTATAAGAGCGGAACGAATTCGGAATTATAGGGACAACACATTAAATAGAATTAAACATTTAAGATGTCATGAGGACATTTTGGGGCGCCCTTTTTTCTCCAGAAGATAAAGAAATTGGAAATGTACGGTTGATGACGTCACGGCAACTCCACCCTAAATCGGAATATCTCTCGGACGTTTTTACTAGTCTAGATTCATTCGCACTTCAATGATAATTTTAGGGTACCACCGTTCCTACTGCAGACACAATTACAGACGTTTGCACTTTCTTGATATCTTATGAAAAGTGAGCATAAATCACATTTAGGAGATCTATCTATCGAATTCTACAAATTAAAGCGGAAATTAGAGCCCCAAATCATTAGCTATTAGCAGACACCACGGCCAAGGTCTGGTCGTTCGAACAACGGTGTTCTACGAATACCATTGTAGTTGCGCAGACCCAGGACGTTGCAGGATGTACGTCACCGTGATGACGTCACTTCGACTTATCCCGTCCAAAGACGTCGAGTTTCTTGCGGAGCTCGAATTTCAGCGGGCGAGATCGAATCGCTTCCCCGTTTATTTTACGACCCTGTCATCTCCAATTCCCAACACGGTTGACTCTTCACAATTTCTTTTGAGAGTATGATTTTGAAATCGCATACGACTACTTGAACTATATATTTCTTTTCTCCTTGAAAGCCAGTAGAAGATAGAGCTCGAGAAGAGTGGAAATGTAGTTCCTACATTACGTTTGGATTAAAATACCATTTAATTCTGTGGCGGCATTGAATTCATAAAAAAGCGCCCGTAAAGTATTCTACAAATGTTATTTTGTAAATGCTCTTGAAGATGATTTTCAGGCCGCTTGGAAAAGCTTCAAAAGCAATTGGAAGATTAGATAAGTACCAAGTGAAGAGTTACACTTATCTGACTTTGAGCAAGGCATGCACATCACTCTAATTTTGTAGGTCACATTTACAAACTTGGTCCAAAATGGCTTTTCTCCTCTTAAATGTAATAGCTTTAGTCCTTTTTCCTCACATTTTTTCTTTTAAATTTGTACTTTGAAAACTGTATGCCTTTATTAACTGCATACGCGTCATCACTGATGATGGTATTGATTTTAATGGGGTTTTGTTAAGTGGGGCGGTGAATGATGATCAATCAAAATATATGACTAACGATAAGTAAAAAGTGGTTGAGATAAGATTAAAAATTAATATATTAAATTGTGTGTACAGTTGCAGTAAAAAGGAAAACAAAATTGAGTAATGTGGTATTTAGAAAATTAATATGTCAAATGTTGTATATATTAATTCAAATATGTTCTCATAAAAAGGTTAATGTATTTTCAAACCTGTCAGCGCATGCGTGAACAGTTTAAAACAAAGTTTAAGAGAAGCATAACGAATAAGTCTTTATTCCTAACAATTAAATGTATATCATAATAGGAATGAGCATTATCACTTTTCGCAAACTCTAATGATGCCAGAGTTTTTAGAATACGGCTCAAGGAATTTTGTGAATGTACTGGAACCGATGCCCGAATATTAAAGTGACTCGGTAACATTGCCTCCGATTCTAAAACAAAATCCTGGATTTAGCTCATGCAGAAATCATAATTATAAACCTTTAGGCCAGTCGGGAATCCCATGACTTTTACAAGCTGATCGCATGTCTGATTATCAAGATATTTATGATTGGAAATCGAAATTCGAAAAACCGTTTTCACAACGGTTTTTATAACACTGCAGCCTGTTGAGGAAAATCAGTATGGTAAAACCGGTCACTCAAAGATTTCTACTTTTTTGAGGCACTTCATGATCATTTTGAAGCGCAATTTTTTTAGGGCTTCAATATTACACCATATCACAGACACTGGTAACACGTAGGGCCGTTCATCTCAGATTTAACTTTGCTAAATGATACCTTTAAAAGAAAAAGCAAAGTAAGAACAACTGCTTTGGAAATAATGATTACTTACTTGGTATAGGCGGTGAAGCATTCGTTTCTCATGAACCCTTCTACGAATTTGGAGTAAACTTTGGCGCTACCGTCACAAGTAACTCCTCCATTCTCACCCAAGAGGGCGCCCGTCAAGCTACCCACTTGGCAGCACATCTTCGTAACAATATTGCCTGTTTATCGGATAGAAGAAAAATAGAAGAAAATGTTGCTTGAATAGACGAGTCTGTAGACGATGATACAATTGACCACTAGATATTTACAAATGTGGAGAAGTCCCATTCTGTACAGTTTATAATCAGAACCATGACAGCTAAAGTCATTAATTTTGAATACATTTTTTTTCTTGAAAATAGGATTTCCATATAACGTGGACACACATATAAAAATTACATCACTTTCACGAACATGTATCCAGTATTTGCCCATTCGCTGATTGTATCTAAGACTTGCTTATTGGTTCAGTGGCGTAGAAAAGGGTGCTCATAACCCCCCCCCCCTCCCCTCAACCACAGACACATTTTTAAAAAGGAAAGAGAAGAGAAAGAGTGACACTGAAAGGGAAAGTGGGGGTGCTACGAGAAAAGGTGATAAGACACTTCCTTTATTAATCGAGTAAAACTGGTTTTCTTGAAACTTTCTCTTTGATCCGTTAGTCTGATTTTCTACTTTTATCGAAAGCAAAGGATTTTTCTGATAAACACAGAATATCTTTCAAAGTGTATTTATCTATCTTTTTCTTCATGTATTGAACAGCTAGTATGATTTTATATTTCCATTAATTTGGACCGGAATTGACAATCTCTGCATTCTTTTGTTTGTCTGCTTTGTCTGTTTGCTGTGTTTGCTAGCTTTTTTCTTTTCTTTTCTTTTTTCTAAAAATTCCATCCTACCTCGCATGCTAGTCCATTGAGACATCTCATCGGGCGTCGTAGTCGTGGTCGTGGTCGTAGTTGTTTCCTGATCGACGACCTCGGTATGGTCTTCAGCATCCTGGTCTGTCAGGGTCAGCAACCTGAGAGGGGACAAGAAAATCGGAGATTGGAGGATTTCTTAGGATTTCTTGGAAAACATCTCAGTTTTTCGATGGTTCTAGAATTACACTGAGTGCCCTGGATCTGGACAAGTTGAAAAGACTGAGGGCGAAGGAGTTGACACATCTTGCTTTAATCAATAAGATAAAGACAACAACATTTACCGACGGAAAAGTATTTTAGGTAATACTAATCATCATGGTTGTTATTATTACTAAAACTACTATACTATTACTTTTTAATGATGATAATAATAATAATAATAAAAAATAATAAAAAATAATAGTAGTAATGCTCCTGTAACCGCTGTTACTTCTACTTGTCCTACGCGTACTACTGTCCTCCCTCCTCCTCCTCCTCCCCATCCTCCTCCGCCTCCTCCTCCTCCTCCTCCTCCTCCTCCTCCTCCCCATCCTCCTCCACCTCCTCCTACTTCTCCTCCTCCCCTCCTCCTCCTCCTCTTTTTCCATCCTCCCTCCTTCCCCTCCTCCTCCTCCTCCCCATCCTCCTCCGCCTCTTCCTACTTTTACTCCTCCCTCCCCCTCTTCCTCCTTTTCCCTTCCCCTCCTCCCCGCCTCCCTTTCCATATTCATCCTCCTTGTATCCCTGTTCTTCCTCATTCTACTATTTCTATAACTTTACCCTTTCCCTCCTACATCGTCTGTACTGCTCATCATTGAGACAAAATGATGACAGTAATGATAAAAACACAATTCTTCTCCGCAAAAATAAAGTGCCAGATGTCTCCTTGTTTATTTTTAATTTAAGAAATATGTGTTTTTGACTTACTTGCCGACTGCTTTTCCGACAGCGTAGAATAAATCAACCGGGTCTTTTTGGCCTGACTCGACCATGTCCTAGGAAAAGAAACAAAAGGTAAGAAACTTTATTGAGATCGAAATGACCGATGGTGAGGTTAAAGGCATCGTAATGTTAACTCTGAGATGCATGGCCCTACGTGTTATCAGTGTCTGTGATATGGTGTAATATTGAAGCTCTAAACAAATTGCACTTCAAAATGATCAAGAAGTGCCTCAAATAAGTAAGAATCTTTGAGTGACCGTTATTACCATACACATTTCCCCCAATAGACTGTATATACAAACAAAACGTTAGGAAAACGAAAAATGAAATTTCATTTTCCAATCATAAATATCTTGATAATCAGACAGGCGATCGGCTTGTAAAAGTCATGGGGTTCCTGACTGACCTAAAGGTTTATAATTATTATTGCAGCATGAGCAAAATCCGGGATTTTGTTTCAGAATCTGAGACAAAGTTACCTAATCCCTTTAATAAAGAGGTGACCATAGTGCGGTATACACTTATGTGAAAACAAGGAAGAGATTGAGGGGAATGGATACGAACATGAAGAATACAACAAATAAAGACAGGAGGAGGAAGGAAGAGAAGTCTGTTTGCGAGTCTCTTTTACCGCAAGAGGGCAGCACATCATTTTTTCAATCCTCCTACATGAACCCAAACCATTTAACAAGTTATCGTCATCAGGGTCAAGTTTTACATTTGTTTCGGTCAACAAAGTACCGTCTATTTTTGGGTGCATGATTCATTAATACAACAAATATATATTCTGAAAGAATTTCATCATGATGGTTGTAATCATGATTTTGGAGTTCTTTTATCACATCCAAAATGAAATGTACCTGTAAAAGTTTCGATGTCTAGAGTTCAGACACCTGAACATCTGTCCTACAAAGAGTTACGATTGATTCAAATCAATCGCAAGTCCTCCAACCAATCGCAAGTTTGCAGTCTCCTATCTCTTATGTACATATTTACGATTGATATCAATCGCAAATAACTTGCGCTTGATATCAACTCCTTGTAGACGGGACCCTGAACTCTAGACATCTAAACTGTTTAATGCAGGTATTGTTCTTCCTATTGGATGTGATAAAATAACTTTCAAACCTAAACACATCAATAGTTTGTAGGACCTACCTCGATTTCACTTGCAGGCACTAGGTACTCCCTAGCGCATGAATATCGTTCAACGCCGGTCTCATTGCAGCATCCGGAGAGGAATTTTTTCTTGCCCCAGCTTTCCCCTTTAGTCAAGTATGATGGGCGTGGTCTATTTAAAGATGATAATAATAAATGGATAAAACCTAATCAGACCATAAATTACTTTTGTGATTAAAAAAACAATGTCATTAAAGAATTTTGCTGTTAGGCACAATTTTTGGCGTGGCGTGGCGAGGGTTCTTCATTGTGTTTGTGTAGATATTCTAGTAAATTGAGCTTGAAAATTAATGCTGAAGATAGAATTTGAATTGATTATTCCTGCAGATTAAATTAATTGGCTAGTGAAAAAAGAGGAAGATTTTTAAAGTCAAGTTTGCTGTCAACGTATCAATATATTTCCCGGCTTAATCTATATTTATGAACTGATTACAATGATATATTATCACAGCCATGACCGTAAGATTGAGTTCTGGGAAGAGGTGAACATTTTTTTTGGAGCGTTAGCATTGTTATTATGCAAGTGTGGAACTTGTGGAAGAACCCTGAAAAGCATGGATCTAATGCCTCAATGTTATAAATATGGCATGTAACATCATAAAAATCAGGACAGATTTTTTATGCCACATGTTCGTCTAGTCCTATATACATCATACAAATCAGGACAGATTTTTATGCCACATGTTCGTGTAGTCCCAGAACGTTTCTTTCATAATTCAATCGCATGACCAGAACTCAACTTTATCTTTAAGGGGGGGGGGGGGTGATTAACATTTGTACATGAATTAGGGGTATGAAGTTTCCATCATTTCAATTAAACAAGTTCTGTTCATGATAACGCAATCTTCGCAATCTTTCATCGTCATACACAAAATATTGGTAAACGCATACGACAATTGTAGAGAAATAATATCAAGTTGGAAAGAGAGAGACAGAGAGAGAGACAGAGAGAGACAGAGAGACAGAGACAGACAGAAGCAGAGATAGAGAGAGAGAGAGAGAGAGAGAGAGAGAGAGAGGGAGAGGGAGAGAGAGAGAGGGGTGGACATACTTTGAAAGGATTTACCTAAACCCGGCATCCTGAATATCGCATATCCCATCTACGATGTTTTGAGTCATGTTAGCGATGCATTCTATTTTCTCATCCGTCATATTGAGGGCGCAGCATTCCTTAAGCTGCAGAAGCATGACATCATTTCCGCGAGTATGGTGCTTCCTTTTAGGAGCTTGCTCTAGCTCAGCCAAGTCGAAGAAGCTACCAATAACGCTTTTGATAGTATCCGCAGCCTCAACAGCCGGACAAAGACTCTCCATCATCTCATTCTTGAACAAGAGTTTTAGAAGGGACATCTTTCCGAATATTCTTCCGGGACGTTGCCTTTTTGGTCCACCTTGATGGTTGTGCATTGATGGTCCTCGATGAATGTTAACTGGTTTAGCGTGCTTTCGCTTGTAATTTTGCTTTTCTTCGATGTCATTCAGAAGCTCCATGGCACTCCATATATCTCTCTTTCTCCTGGAATCATCATCTTTCTCCTCATCCCCCTCCTCCTCTTCCTCTTCACCGTTATGTTGTTCTTGTGTTTGAGGTTCATTATCAGATTCCGTTCCTTCCGACCCTTCTGATTCTTCTGCATCAGTCAGCATCCAACTCCAAACATCCCTTCTCTTTCTCCGATCTTCATCCTCTTCCTCTGCTTCCGCAACTAATTGCTCTTTCTTTTGGGTTTTTTTACCACCTGACCACCATACATACCATCCTCCAGTTTCCTCCTCCTCCTCTTCTTCTTCTTCTTCTTCTATTTCTTGGACGGTACTCTCTTGCTGTTCCTGAGGTTCTGGCTCTTCGCCCTCCGATTCAGATTCTTGTCCTTCACTTTCACTCTGTTCTTGCAGTTCCTGTGCCCCTTCCGATTCTTCCACATCTTCTCCTTCAGAATCGCTTTCTTCTCCTCCGCTTTCCATCTGTTCTTGCGGTTCTTGTTCTCCATCTGAGTCTTCCGGTTCTTCTCCTTCAAATTCTGGGTCTTCTGAATCAGACTGTTGTCCTTCACTTTCCATCACTCCCTGGGGTTCCTCCACCTCCTCTCCTTCAGATTCATTTTCTTCTCCTCCGCTTTCCATCTGTTCTTGCGGTTCTTGTTCTCCTTCTGATTCTTCCGGTTCTTCTCCTTCAAATTCTGGGTCTTCTGATTCAGACTGTTGTCCTTCACTTTCGATCACTCCCTGGGGTTCCTCCACCTCCTCTTCTTCAGATTCATTTTCTTCTCCTTCGCTCTCCACCTGTTTTTGTGGTCCTTCTTCTCCTCCTTCTCCTTCTTCTCCTTCTTCTGGTTCTTCTGGTTCTTCTCCCTCCGATTCACTTCCTTGACCTTCACCTTCCATTTGTTCCTGTGGGTCCTGCGATTCTTCTTGTACTTCAGACCCCTCTTGGTTGGATGTTTTGACTTCCACTAGTCCTAGTGGAACACCTCCTGCTCCGTCAGACGATCCCTGTCCTGGCATGTTCATGTCCGATCCGTCAGTTACTTCTCCAGAATCGACATCTTCCTCTGACTCGGGTTCTTGTCCTTCACTTTCCATCTGGTCCTGTGGTTCTTGTTCTCCTTCTGATTCTTCCGGTTCTTCTCCTTCAAATTCTGGTTCTTCTGATTCAGACTGTTGTCCTTCACTTTCTATCACTTCCTGGGGTTCCTCAACCTCCTCTTCTTCAGATTCATTTCCTTCTCCCTCGCTCTCCATCTGTTCGTGTGGTCCTTGTTCTCCTTCTGGCTCTTCTGGTTCCTCGGGCTCCTCTCCATCGGATGTTTGTTCATCGACCTCCGTTAGTCCTAGTGGAACACCTCCGTCAGATGATCCCGGTCCTGGCATGTTCATGTCCGATCCATTAGTTATTTCTCCAGAATCGACATCTTCCTCTGACTCGGGTTCTTGTCCTTCACTGTCCATTTGCTCCTGTAGTTCTTCAGCGCCCTCTGACTCTTCCAGATCTTCCCCTTCACTTTCCATTTGCTCCTGTGGTTCTTCAGCGCCCTCTGTCTCTTCGGAATCCTCCCCTTCAGAACCTTCACTTTCAGATCTCTCACTTTCTTGCCCCTGGCTTTCAGATACATATCCCTCGGACACACTGCCTATCGTTGACGGATTCGCAGATCCCTCACTTTCCATTTGTGAGCTAGGAGCATTAGGACTATAGTGCATTTGGAAGCATTTCAGTTGGGCTTCCCCAAAGAGAGCACAGCATGATCGGAAGTTGTCTTCATCATAATTCGAAACGACTGTAGATTCTGAGATTGACTTTACTGCTTTAGAGGTTCGAATGTCTCCGCGTCCTCCAAACGTCAATGGAGCTGGGGCGAGCACATTATTATCGGCTTGTGCAAGTTCTGAAGCATATTCCAGGCCAGTAGACGTAGCAGAAGAAGAATCAGGTAAGTAAGGAAGGGCTGCACATGCTTCATCTAACAGTTGCACCCAAAAGTTTGTCATGCAAGAATTTCTTTCCGCCACAAAATTTTCCTGGCAACAATGAACTAAACTGTCGACCTCATAGATACTGCGGCCCGCAGCCGCACGCACCTTGTTAGCAGTAGGTCTCCGGAACCTAGTAGCTTTTCTTCGTTTCCGTCGGCGATTGTCTTCCTCCTCTTCCTCCTCTTCCTCCTCCTCTTCCTCCTCTTCTTCGTTCTGTTGATTCTGCTCTGCTAGCTGTTGAGCCTGTTCCTCAAGTATTTCAAGACGCTCCTCTTCTTGCTCAGCCAGCAATTCTGCCTGTTCCTCTTCTTGCTCAGCTAACAATTCTAACTGTTCTTCATTCTGCTCGGCAAGTTGTTCCAATTGTTCCTCTTCCTCTTCTGTCAGTTCTTCTGCTAGAAGGTCCTGAAGCTCCTGTAATTCAGTCTGGATTCTTGAAGGCTGGTTCAGTTCTACGTCGAGGCCGTTTTCAAGATCAGCGTATAAGCTTTGGAAATCTACTGCAGCCTGGCAAATGTCTTCCTGGTGATTGGCATCAAAACGCGTATCAGATGGCAACTCTTTGAAAAACTCAACCAGTGGCTTGACCTGAATCATGGGTAGTCGCAATGCAAGAACAGCCATGCTAGCCTCCTGGATGCAGTCTTGTCGCATGTCACTGGTCAATGAACAGCATGGGTGGGAAGGATCGAGGAAAGGGCCAGTGTAGTCACTTGGGATGTATTCTCCGTAGAATCCCATTGGAAAGTATACTCTAGGAGGAGGTCCGTCGCACGATTGGTCAGCTAGTTTTGTTGCGGCGTCCATCAGGCAAGTATACCTTCGATTGTTCTGGAACCTACAACACTTTTTCACCGGCCATCGTCCCTTTAGTTCAAGCGAGGTCGCACTTTTCGATTCTTGGCAGACTCTGTCGATTCTGTTGAACTCTGCAACGGCGAGGAGCTCTGTTCGAATATCTTGCACCTCTTCAATAACTGGGGGACTGTAGGACAGCATCGCGACCTGGCGATCTATGCGAGAGAAGCACGCAGCTCTTATATCGGCGTTCGGTCTCATGCAACACCTATGTTCGTCATTGATTGGGTCTTCTGTGCGCAAAATGGTACTGAAAATGTCTATTTGGAACAAGTCATCGGTATTGCATATAGCGGTAAAGTGGTTCCTACGGAGAACAGCTAGACATTCCCGCCGACTTTCACCGTCGTTTTCGCAGCAACGGACGACCTGCTCGTCTATCATATCAACGTCTTCTCTCACAGCAGCGCAAATGGCTTTATTCTGACGGCCCTCCTCCTTCACCCATCGCTGTTCCTTTTGCTCACGTGCAGCTTCTACACGCACCGGCTTCTCAGATGAATCCTGACGTCTAAGCTTGGACATTGACATCCTCATTGTTCTGATGCAGGACATCCGCTCCTCTTCGTTCAGAATACAGCATTCGTGCTCGGGATGAAGGTTCTTCTTGGCAGCGTTGAAACTCTCTCCCTCAACAATGGCGTATGAAACGCTTACGTTGCTGGCGTTGCAAATTTTGGCCAAAGCATAATTTTGTCTCTTGTCCATGCATCTCTTCTTTTTGAGAAATGATGATTGCTGACAACAAGCGATGAGTGTGTCATCCGCATCGTCCTTTCGAAGCTTTGCACATAACCTCTGCATGAATGTCGGTCGAGTCGAACCTTGAGTATTCGGTACTGGTGCTCTTGTTGAGTTAATTCTTGATTGTTGGTTGTTCGAACGTTTTACCAAGAAACATTCATACCTTTCTTCACTCTCCAATCTGCAGCATGGATGAACTCTTTCCTTTTTACCGTTGCTGTATCGCAAGGCTTGCTTTTTGCACAACCCATCAAAGTTGTCCCTCTCGACTTCCCTGAAACACGCCAATGCATCGTCCACGTCCTCAACCATGCAGCACGTTTGGTAATCCTCACTGTCCCTATCACCTTCTGGTGTTTGGTCAACAGCGTTGCAAAGACGCTTCACCTTTTCCACCTTGCGCCTCATGTTGCGCCTCTCCTCCAGACGTTTCTTTTGATTCTCCCTCAGTGCCTTCTTTTCCATGCAGTTGTACCTGAGATCACCCTGGAGGCTGCAACAGTTGCGACCGGGCAAACGATCTTCCACGGTGCTGTTCACGCTAGCCCCACTCAAACTGCAGATTTCGTCATAGTGCATTCTTTTCTCCTCGCTCAGGCAAACCATACGATCCGAATCGCTAGTCAGCTCACAGCATCGTCGCACGCCCTCTGCGTCGGATAGGACGGGGTGACCGTTGAAGAAGTTTCCTGCAATCTTGGAGCAGAAGGTATCCAACCTGTGGATATCATCTTCTTCACCTGGGATGACTCGCACCAGACACATTCTGCGTTGTTGAACTGTCAACGTAAAACCAAGGGAACATAACATGAATGTTAAATAACTCACTCATAAAAAAGAATTATACCAACTGACCTAATCGAAATGATTTATATTTTAGTTAGAAATTATATTTTGTCTGATCTCACAAGCGGTAAAAAAAATATAAAAAAAGAATATGATAAACACATAAACAAATGAATAAATAAGATCTCTACAGTTTTTCTTTCCCTTAAAATTATCTACAGCCAATCCAGTTTGTTTTTCCCCTTTTATCTTTCAGTATCTCTTCCCAATTCACATAAGAAGTCCTTCAGTTGTGTAATATTCTTGAACATTCGTCATACGTATTTTTCACGCTTCTATACATTTTGATATTTTGTTAGGTATATTTTATTTATTACTTTTGTATATAATTATGCATTGTTCTAAATCAGGCCCCAAGTACAGTGGTTAATCATCCCTGTATAAACAACACTGTAGGAAACAATAAATCAATAAATGAGTAATTCAATAAAGAAAAAAAAAGGCCAAGAACAAATACAATGCATATATTTAAATCCCCACTGCACTAGTTTGGCCAGGAGGGATTAGACCTCCCTGCAAGGTCACTGACAGGTGGTTATCTCATCAAATCAGCTCTCAATTAAAGTAAGAAAAAGGGGATCATGGGGACCAACGGGCACCGATTAGGCATCGTTTGCTATACAGAGGGCGCAAGTAGCTGTAAGTAGTACAGTGGGGCTTTAACGAGATAACTATTTAAATAAAGTACCTGGAAGTAGGCAGCATTCCTTGACGATTGCAGGTAGAATGGTTCCTCTAAAGTTTCCTTCCTCGCATAGTCGTTCAATGTTCCCATAGAGCTCCTCATCATAGAACGGCACTTCTTCCAAAACCTCTTCCTCTTCCATCGCTTCCATCTCCTCTTCTTCATCTACACGGGGAAGGAAGAGAGAGAGAGAGTGAAAGGGAGAGGGAGAGAGAGAGGCAGGGGAGAGACAGGGACATAAAGAAGAAAGGGGCAGAAAGACAGATAGTAGGAGTGTGATTTAGAGTATGTGATGGAGAGAAAGAGAGAGAGAGAGAGAGAGAGAAAGAGAGAGGGAGAAGGAAAGAAAGAAAAGCAGAAATTTTAATAGTGGGAGTGAGAAATATGGGAGAGAAAGAGAGAGAGCGAGGGTGGGGGTATGCAGACAGAGAGGGAGATAGAGAGAGAGGGGGGGGGGGGGGAGAAAGATAAAGAAACGTGTCAGAAAGTGAAAAATATAGAGAGAGACAGAGACAGAGAGGGTGGAAGATAGAAGGGGACGGGGTTAGATATATTAGCTTTCCGATAACTTTAATAATAGTAATAAACCACTTTTAAATATGCTAATAGCGTTTTTGTGAAGTGTTTTTCACAGAGGATACATACATGTAGCGCTGAATATTGCTTTCACTCTATAGCCATAGCCAAACCTCCTTGATCAATCCAGTTAATTCATTTTTTCTACATTTTACCATTCACCTAACATGGCCGAGAGTGGCAAAAGCAGACAAATGCTTTCCGTGAAAACGTCATTGCCTCGACAAGGATTAAATGAATCACTATTTTTGGTGTAAAGCATTTCATTTTGTACAGACAACTGAGCAAGCTTGTGTGATAGTATAGTGGTTCATTCACTTGACTCTCAATCTAATGGTTTAGGGTTCGAATCCCTGCCCAGCACTGAGTCCTTTCGTAAGATATGTATCCACATTTTTTTCTGCACATTTGCCACTCTCTACCCAGGTGTAAATGTGTACGTGACAATTGCTAAAGTAATGATAAGTGCATAACCCTCAGAAAGAGCACTGTTAATATTGGTTGGCTATACCCTTGGTAAATAAGACCCAACCACCATTTGTTTCTTAAAGGGATTGGGTAACTTTGTCCCAGATTCTAAAGCAAAATCCTGGATATAGGTCAGTCAGGAACCCCATGACTTTTACAAGCCGATCGCTTGTCAGATTATCAAGATATTTATGATTGGAAATCGAAATTTCGTTTTTCGTTTTCCTAACGGTTTATATAACACTAAAGTGTTTAGGGAAAATGGGTATGGTAAAACTGTTCACTCATTTCTTTTTACTTTTTTGAGGCACTTCATGATCATTTTGAAGCACAATCTATTTAGGGCTTCAAAATTACACCATATCACAGACATTGGTAACACGTAGGGCCATGCATCTCTTATTTAACATTGTTAAAATATGCCTTTAATCAGTATAGAACATGAATATCATAAAAAATCAAAGGTCTGTTACCTGACTTGTTCATGCCAATTAAACACACTTCTTTGAAGAGGGAGCCCTTCTCCGATGAAGACTCAGAGTACACGTGTTCAACAGTCTTGACAGTAGCTCTGGGTAATCAAATATTCAAAGAAATGGCATGTTAGGATATAAGTGATGACGGTTAGAATTAGTGGCGTCCGTGATATTGAGAACAGAGGGATGATGGGGGAAGGGGCAGTTAGGCCCAAAAATTGAGCAGAAGATCGGGACAGAGAAATTGGAGCAGAAGAGGGATAGAGAGAATTAATTGTATGGAGTTTGAGAGAGACAGAAGGATAACAAGAGTGACAATAGAGAGAGAGAGAGAGAGAGAGAGAAATATATATGTATATATATATAGAGAGAGAGAGAGAGAGAGAGAGAGAGTGGGGGGTGGGTTGCATGTTACGATTAAACATATGCCGATATTAAATATTACTTTGTCAACGAATCCCTCGGTTAAAATGATCTACAATCCATGAATAAAACATTATAATTAAACTGAAGAAAAAAACATAAAAAAGCGTCTAAATGGACCCCCTCCCATGCATGTACTTTTTAAAACAGAGACAAAATTCGGAATGAACCCAATGTTGAAAGTTAACCATATGGTCTAGCGTCCCCTACGGCGGCATGTTAACGAGAATTAAAACTAAAGTGAACCGAAAAATTGCAAACTTATGCGCATGACTCCGTTCATATGAGAGGGAGGTACTGGTGAGTTTCTTTGGTATTCATTGACATTTCTCGAGCTGTAAAGCTTACAGAAGAGAACAAATGTACTAAAGTAGATTTTGCATTGAATAGAAGGTTCATGAAAATATAGCGTAATATCCTCTTTCAAATTAATTTCAGACAGAGTCAACGGAAGAAGATAAACACGAAAAAAGACGAAGACGTTGATAATTTTTTTGGTAATTGTGTTCATATTCTCGAACATAATCATATCTAGAGCAACATGCGAATTAAGTATTTAACAGACGTATATTCAGGAGGTTAGGGGGAAATATTTGCCTCTGACAAAAATACAAACAAATATATTAACATAGGCAATCAAAACGAACAACAGGCAAAATATTTTTTGAATAATATTTTCAGTCCTCCTTTTTGAGACAAAAGTGCGAATTATGGCATAAATACCTAAAAGAAACGCAACCACACTGAGGCGCCTTCCAGCTGAACGATATTCTGCGCATGTCCGAAACTATTGCCTGCCTGATCACATGAGGGCAGTCTTCATCTGGCGTTCCGATATCGTACTTATCAATCATCGTTCCGTGATCGCAATGGGGATCGATGTTGTGTGCAGTGACCAGGAACTCTTGAAAGAGGTCGCTGTTGCTTTTGAGACTGACTGTAATAGAAAATTTATAACAAAAGTGATGACATGTTAGAAAGCGTGAACAGAGTACTCCTAGGCCTTTATAGCGGATGTTTCATGAAGTACTTCTTCATTACAACACATATTCGAGTCATTGTACGTATCCAATGATTGCAAAGTGATTGAACATAATAATACCAATGCAACCCATCATCAACATCATCATAACAAATTATGGCCCCGAAACGCCGTTGTTTGCATTAATACAATTTTTTTCTTTCTTGTGTTAACACATTATAGAATTTACATAAACATGTTAAACATGTTCATTTATTTCAGTTTTAGTGTTAGGTTTAGTTTCATCTGATACAACAGAACAATCAATTACAAACAATTTTGACCAAACAAAATCAATGAACATTTACATCATGCATTTTGAAAATCATTAATTTAATTATTAAAGAGATTGCATACATTTCACATCACATTGTCTTTGTGTTCTCTAAGGCTGCACTTCGCTTTCAAAGAATTTGATTTGATAATAAGCACCTATATGCCAGTAAACATCTTTTTTTCTACGAGGAGTACGCCTATAAAGAATACGGTCATGTCTACTATCAAGCCAATCAACAATATCAAACACTTACAAAACGATTTCCTAATGTTAACTTAAAAATCATATGCTTATCCCTGTATTAAAAAAATCTAACAATTCTGGTCTTTGATTTTTGTCTCCAATTAACCTGTGTGATTATACGTCACAAAGGACTGTGAACCTAGTTACGAAATCTGTTGAATCATTCTATGAGATAAGATATCCCCAATAGAGATTAAGTAGACAAAAGAGTTTGATGTTAATCCCCAGGTACCCTTAACATTTCGCGTCTTGTTCTAGTAGCCCCTTGCTTAATCCTTTAACACAATATTTGAGATGGCGCGAACATTGTCCTTGTACCCCTCGATATGAGTTTGTCTATTCCGTAAAATGCATGATCAACATCAATTGTATGGCGCCATTTATCTGGCGCCCGCTCCTTCAATAGTTATGGACTACACATTTGCTAGAAAAGATGGGGTTTTAGGCCTGTTTTAAAGATACTATGTCCCATTTGCAGCCAACATCAAATTCTATAGAACTTTGCAGGGAATTATGAATATGTCTTGTATGTCTTATCTGTGAAATGTAAGCATTATCAGTGTCCTAGTATCTAAATAATGCAAGGAAACTCGTTAACCTTCTACACTGCACTGTGAGACACTATTGAGTGACTAACTGACATCTTTTTTTCTTTGGTAATAACATGCATGAAATGAGCTGTATTACACGAGCACTTGTCTACATCAATAACCCACTACTTGTAACGGCCAAAATTAAATGACTGAATCTTTGTGCTGCACAAAACGTACGACCATTCGGTAAAAGGGTCTGAAAATCAGACTATCACTTAAGTGATTGCAATCACTTAATAAGTCGATTCGACAACTAATGGTCTTTATTTCACCACTAAAAGTCATTTTCAAGCACTTTTGTTTTGAAAGAAGTTCTAAATTAATTTTTCTTACAGATGCCATTGGCTTTTAATTTTTTGTCCTGCAAATGGGACATAGTACCTTTAAACCTTTCTAGCTTGTCTGTGTTGCGAAAAACAAGAAGGAGGGAATCTCAAAGGCGTGAAGCAACTTTAGTTTATTTCAACATGAGTTTTTTTTCTTTTTACTTCATTTGATCACTCTGTCTATTTGAGTTTGAACATTATATTTCCCCCATCATATAAATATGTCTGGATTAATCTTTGGTGACTGTGTGCGAAATCATGGTTTTGCAAAAATATCCATAACGAGTCTTGATTAGCTTCATGGCAACCCTAGTTTGGCCAGGGGGATTAGACCTCCCTGCAAGTTCACTGACAGGTGGTTATCTCATCAAATCAGCTCCCAAGAAAAGGGGGATCATGGGGGACCAATTAACATGCACCGATTAGGCATTGGTTGCTATATAGAGGGTGCAATTCGCTATTAGTAGTGCAGTGGGGCTTTAACACTGGTACAAATTAATCTTTTACTGGAAATATAAAAGCCTACGATTAATCATATCTTTCCCATGAAAAATACAACGTGGCACAGGAAGATTATTTGTGTGTCATATAAAGTGTTAAGAACTACACCCAGCGTGAAAAATGGTTAGTACTATTATATCACAATCTATCGAGATGGAATCACATTTTGAAATATATATATATATTACAAAAAGATTTGCCATACGGCATTTTCTTATTATCAGCCATACGGCATTTTCAGAAAAACGTTAAAAAAATTATGAATATATACATAAAACCACATGTAATGCGGTAAACCAACACGCATTATGCTGGCATCGGATTCAGTGATACGATGATACATTTTATGCATTATGGCCCCCAGAGCTAAATAAAACCAAAAGATGGATTGAATGCCTAGAACTATAAGAGGCAATATGCATTTTTCTTACTATCATACTAGCTAAAAGGAAGCAGCTGGGGCCTCATATTTGACAGTAATGATCGTCTAATGGATATTATGGTTGTTTTGTTCTACAGGTCATATGGAAAGTCACGGTATTATTTCGCTCCTGGAAAGAGAATTGCGAATTCAAGGAAATCAATCAGTTTTATTGGGTGGGGGTGGCTTTGTCAAAAAGTGCCAACGAAATCTTCAAATGTGTATCATGCAAAAGATTTCCAGTTAAATATGCAGTTGGAATGCCTATAGCATAGACCTTTTTAACTTTCATTTTGACGCCCACTCCCCCCCCCCCCTCGAGCGTTAATAAAAAAATATACCCCTTTTGCCAAGGGCATAACACCGCAGGACACCATTACAGGTTTTGTAATCATACTTTTATTTGTAGTTCACCACCACAAACTTCTGTTTCAAATTATCATCCAAAATACCGCATAGCGTACATCATTTATAAAGCATAGTAATTTTTTCATTATTATAAACATAAATTATAATGGAATAAACTATTTACCGGTAGTCAAAATTGTCCGTGATTTCTATTCTCTCTCTCTCTCTCTCTCTCTCTCTCTCTCTCTCTCTCTCTCTCTCCCTCTCTCCTTTCTTCTTCTTTTTCTTCTTCCTCGGCTCTTCTTCTTACTCGGCTCATATTCTTACTTCTTACGTCTAACAATAACCCTAGCAAGATAATACCTTAATAAATCACATAATCAACTAAAATCTTTAGAAATATATCAAATTGCACGAAACTAAACCAACCACATCGATACATGGCAAACTCAAATCATATTACTTAAACATTGTAAGAAAGTTGCAATCAATTGCAAATCCCCCAAATGAATCGTAAGTCTTGCGATTAATTGCAAATTTGCAATTGATCGCAACTCAAATTTCTTGCAACGCCCCATTAGTAAGAAAGAAAGAGGGGGAGAGAGAGAGAGAGAGAGAAAGAGAGAGAGGGGAAGAGAGTGAGTGAGAGAGAGAGAGATAGATAAAGAGAGAGAGAGAGAGAGAGAGAGAGAGGATGAGAATAAAAGCTAGATCTAGTTAACTTAATTTAATTGTTAAAACTTTAATCCTAACAAAATCCTAGGAAATTTAGTAGACTAGTGGGGCTTTGCAAGAAAGTTGAGTTGCAATCGATTACAAATATCAGTTGCAAATTTTGCAACTCGCATTCAATCGCAACTTTCATGCAACGCCCAACTAGTTTAACACAATAAGAGCCAAATAAATTAACAGCTCAAGTCAGGTCAACGAAACCTAAAAAGAAAACGATCTAAACAAGACAATCTTACCTGCATATTCGATCTCGGGTAGGAAGCCCTCGTCGACCTCGTCGAGTGAAAGCTCAAAGTTGGAGATCATGAGTGAGTTAGAGTCATCGTCGGCTACTCGTGGTGTTCCAACATTCGTATGGGCCTCATCGATGTCACATTGCAACTCTTTGAAGCCGTTTGTAAGACAAAAATGTATAGTTATTTATAATGTCATCACATTTGCAGTGAGAGTTACATATGATGATTGTAATTTGTACTATGATTATAATTTGTTTCAAGAGAGAAAAGAATAAAAACTGACCATAAAAAAAAAAAAAAAAAAAAAATCAAATCGGTCATTGCGCATAATATATAAAAAAAAAAAAAAAAAAAAAAAAAAAAAAAAACCTCTAAAACAACAAGAATAGTATGTGAAAAATATGTATGGATTAGTTCCATTTACATGAACAAATGTACAGGGCAAGGAGGGTACTATTAACTCTGCAATGAAGTAATATAAAACAACGCCTTTCTTGCACCAAACAGACGATGAATTAAATTGCATGGTAATGTCACACAATTAGCTAAATGTCTTTGCTGTAATTTTAGCTGTCTAGATTAAAAAAAAACACGAATACATGATACATTGCATTGTTTAAAGAAAGAGAAATTTATGAACAGCTTCGCTTAGAACACCCAAGCAAATTCGTTACAACGTATGTTGAATTTGGATGGGTGGGGTAAGATTAACATGCTATTTACAATAAGGATTTATGAGCACAAGCAATCACAGAGAGAATGCAGTATAAATGCGGGAGAAAATCAGGCAAATTAGAAGAAATCATTAAGGATCATATCATACGAGAATTATTGAATACATCCATCGGATGGTTTCTATTATAAGAGATAAGTTTTGTGGCATTTCCAAAACAACAGTGACGGTTTTGGTGTTTGTAGTTTTAGATACAATTCAATTTAAAGATTTATATATTTTCTTCCGTTTCTTTTTCTATCTATCTATCTATCAGGCTATAGTTCATCCAGACGTTGGACAAAGCCCTCCTCATGAAATTTCCATTCTCTTCTGTCTCTAGCTGTCCTAGTCCAAGCGGACGTTCCCATGTATGATGTTAGGTCATCTCTCCATCTTCTCTTCTGCCTTCCTCTTCTTCTCTTTCCCACCCTTGGTTGCCATTCTGTTAAACGATTTGTCCATCTATTGTCCTGAAGTCTTGCTACATGCCCAGCCCATCTCCACGTCGATTCTCTGACTTTCTCCATGATGTCTTTAACCTTTGTTTTCTGGCGTATGACTTTGTGGTTGATTTTGTCTCTCAGAAATAAATGCGACATCTTTCTCTCCATAGCTCGTTTCTTTTTACATATCAACATGTATAATGACATAAGCAATTTTGACAAAAAGCATGTATTTAACAGTTGAAAGACAAGAAAGAAGAAGGAGGCGTCTTAAAACTAATTTGTAAAATTATTATATTTCTTACCTGTGGGCATGGACCGCGCCACGGCCAAAACCGCGAACAGCAAAATATTTAACCTCATCATCGTCTCAAAAATTAGCAATATTATGACCTGTCTTCGACCAGTCTTTCTCTATTTAACCCTCCGCTCTTGATGAGGGGGGTAAAGTTACACCCCTTTGTCTTTGATAGCACAATCAGGAGACGAAACTCAAACAGTTTAACCTGGGGATGTGATAACTTTGAAATGATGTAATCTCTTGGTAGTTTAATCACTTAATCCTCCGCGATGATAATGGCGTGATCATTTTGGTCAATATTTTTGAGGCGTTGCGATTTACGACGTTCTTAGAAGTAAGGGCGATTTAAGAGGAAATTACGCTTTTGTTACATGGTTTGATGAAGTTTAATGCATTTGTCAGATGTTTGTGTTTACGGGCATTAAATCTTTCGTGGAAACAAAGAACGTTCAGTTCCAGGTATATTCGGGGTTTTATCTCATCGGAATCGACTGAAAAACATCCGAAATTAATTTGAAAAACCAACAAAGTTAAAGTCTTTATTCATGATAACGTTTCTGAATTAGAAGTGCCCTCTTCATTTGTTATTTGATATACAAAAACAACCCCGAATTGGAAATCCAAACCCTTCTCCATAAGCCACGTTTTGAGTGTGGGTGTACATTAGTATACCAGGAGCCAGTATACCAATACCCGTTACCTACTCCAAAATATGTTCCTGTAACTAAAACATCCATTTTCTTCTGTTATCACACACAGTTTAGAGAAAACCAAAGACTTAAAACATATCTTATTCATGCTTTAACCCGATCCGCCGTCTGCACTACACTTAGCAACCAAAGCTGGCTGTTTCTGTCGGTAATGTTACAAGGCTAGACATGTTCTTTTGAAGAAATTTGATAGATAACAGTGTGCAAAATGCGTCCACATTATCGTGTATAAGCATTGTATTCAACAAGACTCCGTATCGAGATACTATCTGTTCCTAATACTATTCATACTTATTATTTCGTCATAATAAGACTTTTTTGGTGGGGGGGGGGGGGGGATCAACATCTCGAAAGGAAGGAAGAGGAGAGGCGGTCGTCTACTTTACGCGCAATAACATTTTATCACAAGTTACGATTTGGTCATTGGTAAAATCATCCCAGCAGTGCCCAATACCATGACCGTAATTCAGAAAGTTTAGGTTACATTCAAATGATAACTTTAAGACCCTCTGAAGCGTTAGGAGCCCCATAGCTTTGACGAAAACATTTCGCTTAAATTGTATCATAATGTATAAAGAAGATGTCATTTGAGACGTATTTCTGCAAGAATTTTCAAAACAAATGTGTTTGAAGTCGAATATTTATGAAAGAATACAAAATTTTGTTTTTTGGCGTACAACAAAAAACCCAAATTATGTATTCTTTTAATCAATAATTGAGAGGGGGGAAGAAAAAATGGGGAAGGAGGTAGATACTCAGAGAGTGTGTGTGTGTGAGAGAGAGAGCGGGAGAAAGAGAGAATGGGGAAGGAGATAATACTTAGAGAGTGTGAGAGAGAGAGAGAGAGAGAGAGAGAGAGAGAGAGAGAGAGAGAGAGAGAGACACACACACACACACACATACACCCACACACACATAGAGACAGATATACAGAGAGATATAGAGCAGGAGAGAGAGATCGAGTGTGGGTGAAGGAAAAATAAAGAGGGAGTGCGAACTGGGTCAATGTAAGAAAAAGAGTGAGATACAGAAACAGAAACAGAGGAAGGTGTAAATGGAAACGAGGGAGAGAGAGAGAGGATAAAGAAAATGATATATGTACAAAGGGGAAAAGGAGAAGACGAATAAGAAGAAGACGAAGAAGAAGAAACAGGGAGTGAGAGGGGAGCAGATGGGGGGGGGGGCAAGGTGGATATTAGAACAAGAGCTTGTGCAAATCTTGATGCAATATCTTTATCCCCATGTTAAAATCACCATCTTCCGGTACCGCAAAATATGAGGCAAAAATGTCATCATATATTATAAATTAATGTCACGATATCCGATATACAAAACTGCGTAACAAGGGAAATTAGGTCACCGACCTAATTCTATAGAACCATCTAGATTGGCGATAATATTCTAAGGTTAATATAAAAGTCAAGCAAAAGGTTGTGATCGAATTTCGTCTGTATTACTTAAGATTGACGTTCGTTACCAAATTAAGTGCTAAAAAATGTCAAATCTTTGAATTCTAGGTACAGTGGTTTGAAATAATGAACACGAAAGTTGTAATAGGTCGAACAGGAAGGAGAAGGATAAGATAAAATATATAAAATAAGAAATATAACTAATAAATGTCAATCACCAAGCAGGAAGAGAGCATAAAGCACTGGAAAGAAATCCTTAATAGTGATCATTATTCTTGATGTAATCTGAACAAAAATAGAGACAATTGTGAGAGAGACATTGTTCGTAAACTCATTACCGGGATCTTTACATAATCATAATTTTTATTAACGGTAGAGGGGAAGAGGAGGGTGGCTCTGTGGTAGAGCAGTGGTCTCGTAAACGGGAGTGGATAAGCTAGTGTTTTTTGATGATGCATTAATCCTCATTACCAAGTCCCTCGAAGAGGACTTTTTAGCTGTTGGTCCTCTGGTTGCTAACACTGTACTTGCAAGCATAACTACACATTCTGTCTTTAATAGCATGCAGGTAACATAATCAGTCATACCATCAAACCATGATAAATGGAGTCTATAATCCCGGTTATGCAGCTGCATCATCGGATGTATAATATTTGTGGTTTCATCACTGATAGTTGTGTTTGATAAAGATGCCGATTTCATTTGTCAGTACTGTAATACATGAACATGTACATGTACAGCAACATGTCATAAGAAACACCCCTCTCCTCTTCCTCTCTCTCTCTCTCTCTCTCTCTCTCTCTCTCTCTCTTTCTCTCCCTGTCTCTCTCGCTCTCTATGTATCTGTATATCTCGCTACCTATCCCTATCGTCTCTCTCTCTCTCTCTCTCTCTCTCTCTCACTCTCTCTCTCTTTATATATCGCTATGTTTTTTCTCTATGTATCTGTATGTCTCGCTACCTATCCCTATCGTTTCTCTTTCTCTCTCTCTCTCTCTCTCTCTCTCTCTCTCTCTCTCTCCCTCTCTCTCTCTCTCTCTCTCTCTCTCTCTCTATATATATATTTCGCTATCTCTGTGTTTTTTCTTCTCTCTCTATCCTATCGTTCTTCTCTCTTTCTCTCTCTTTCTCTTTCTCTCTCTCTATGTCGCTCTCTCTTTGTTGTTATTTTCTCTTTCTATCTACTTCTTTGTCCTTTTCTTCCTTCTTTTACATATTTTAATGTTTCTGTTGTTTTTGTTGTTGTAATTTGTTCTGTTTTGTTGTCTGTGTTTGTTTGTTTGTTCACTGCTTAGCAAAGGCCCATTTTCTTCTTCCTACTAATTATTAATTAACCTAAATTAAGAACATACATTTGCTGTCACTTTAATTCTGTGCAGACATTTTGTTTCTCGGTCGTCCCTACTTTACGCAACCTCGAGAACTGCAGCAAGAATGTTTATCCCCTTCAGTAATATGACGATATCGACGAAGCAAACACAATTGATTAATTGAATGAATATAAGCAATGCTTCAAGATATGGTACGAAATAGGGAACATCGATTTCTCACTATTTCCGTGAAATCAAGAATGAAAACATTTATTTTTGGATGTGTGGAACGAAAAGTTGATAGGCCTAATTTTCGACGGGGCCTTTGGCAGTGTCGTTTAGTTGCTTGGTAAGTTTCGATTGAAATGGAGCCTGGCAAAAAGAAAATGTTTAGCGGCTCTGCTATTCGCTAAAATAATTTAGCGACTATACCTTAGGCCCACATCGTTAAAATGAAGCGTGCCATTCAGTATGTTCGGGGCTATGGCATGGGCCAAAGTCAATGTAGAATCATGTGAATGACGCGTAAAACAAGAAAGTGTACAATGTTTCTCTCATACCGATATGTAGGATATATTCTCCAGCAAAACTTCCAGGCCAATAAAATCCCGCCTTCTCTCTTATTGAATGCGTGGCGGATCGGATGCAAACTATGCAGATGACAATGGTGTATCAATATTTCCCCTCTTGCATGATTACAAATTGGAACAAGTTTCACCCTTCAATAGTTTATCAACTAAATTTAAGGCAGCCCTCCTCAAAGCCCTTTTCTCCATTTTTTCTATTTTTTCCATTTGAGATACAGTTATGTCTTCTATTAACCAATAAATTACAAAGAAGATACAATTACATCTCTCTAGAATAACTCATATCGTCACAATCATATCATGAAATGAGACCAACAAAAATTATTTCAATGTTATGGCTAAAAGTGTCCACATAAGGTGACCAAAGCCTAAAACAGGAGGGAAATGGTAAGGGGAAGGGGAGGGGGGGGGGGGGGGGGAGGGGGGGGGGGGGGTGACACAAATGGAAACACTGAGAATCCCTATTTATGCTTCTACTTTTCTCCTTCTATAACGTATTCCCTTGTTTATCTTCTTTTCTCTAATTCATTACCCGGTACTGACCGTCATACCAGACTCAATCCATCTTCTAATCAATGAATGATGGCGTAGAGGGAGACTACCGATCCAAGGTCCGCCAAATCTCATCGTGACGTCATAGGCGGCTCGTCCTTTGATCTTTTGTTTCTTTTCATCCCATGAGGGGTAATCAAAAAACACCCATCTGGTATAAGGGTACATGCATCTTACCTTAATAGCGTATATATTCAGACTAAGCTCGAGTAACCATGACGATCTTATTAATATATCATTGATAGTTTTACGTATGAGTTTAATTTTTGAAGGATTGAAGACATTTATTGCACAAAATACTTTACAATCAGCTTTTTGATTAATATGTGCGGAATTTTACCAGGTGAAAAATGCCATTATCTATCGGTTATGAAATCATTATGATAAGTCATTTATGATTTCGCTTCGTGATATTGCCACACGAGAATACATTATAGGCGCAATCCTTATTAATACCGAATCAATGGTTTCTTTTCCATGTAGTTCTATTCGAGAAACCTTTGTTTAATGTTGTTGGTAAGTCAATGTAACCTGTGGTTAATTCTGCGTAACAAACACACACAGAAAAGGTCGATGACTTCGATAATGAGTTAATCTGTCAATTTGACAAACAGATTATCTATACGGTTATGAATAAGTATTCCTGAC